AGAGCGCTCACTTTTACTGCTATTCTATTCTAGAAGTGACATCTTGCTTACTACTCTGCATGTGATCACTGATTGGCCAATCAGTGATCACATGATCGGGACCTCGCACAGAGGTCCCATCCGACGATCGGTGTTCCACTGTCCGGAGGACACAGCGGCCACCGGATCGTGGTGCTGCGCGCTCCCAGGGAGCGCGCACAAGCAGGGGGCGGGGAGGATGTTTATAAACGGCTACCCGCCCCTGCACTGCCACCGTCTGGCCGTTTATATACATGGGCCGGGCGGGAAGTGGTTAAAATGAAGTCTTCTCCATCGTTCTCTGATGGTACGAGGTGATGGGTGCATGGGATGAGATTACAGGCTGAATCTAGCTATAGTGGGGTGTATGTGGCCCCTACAGTCTCTATAAGGCCCCCCCAGGGGTCCCTGGAACAGACTCCTCAAACCATTCAGATGTCAGACATCCTGTGACAGGCCGATCATTGCGCGGTGCTTCTATAAATAAGAGCGGTGCAGGTCGGGAGAGCTTACCGGTCGGGGATTTTGTCAGGTTGGGTTTCTTTGCATCTGTTGGCTTGATGTCATTTCTAACAGCTGAAAGTGAAGAATCGTGGAAGGAGAGAAAAGCAGAGATATGATACAGGCAGAGCGGAACTTCGCACTTTGCATCTCGGGTTACATTGTTTTTCCTGCAGATGCCTCTAACTAGTGTGTTCATTGTACTTCTATAATAGATCACCCGGCTGTACAACTGTACAGTACGCAGAGCAATCTCTGTAATATAAAATATACATCTTAAAAAAAGACCCAGGAACTCAGCACAGGGATGGTGGGAACCCCCTCATAATGGGCACAGCGGGTGTACAGACCCGGGAACTTGGCAGAGATGGTGGGAACCCCTCATAATGGGCACAGCGGGTGTAAAGAGCTGGGAACTCGGCACAGAGATGATGGGAACCAATCATAATGGGCACAGCGGGTGTACAGACCAGGGAACTCGGCAGAGATGGTGGGAACCCCTCATAATGGGCACAGCGGGTGTAAAGAGCTGGGAACTCGGCACAGAGATGATGGGAACCAATCATAATGGGCACAGCGGGTGTACAGACCAGGGAACTCGGCAGAGATGGTGGGAACCCCTCATAATGGGCACAGCGGGTGTAAAGAGCTGGGAACTCGGCACAGAGATGATGGGAACCAATCATAATGGGCACAGCGGGTGTACAGACCTGGGAACACAGGTCATGGATGGTGGAAACCCCTCTTATTTGGACCAGAGAACAAGAACAGAAAGGAACCTACCTGATGGGCGTTTGGGGGTGACGTTGGGTTTTGGAGCGGGCCCTCCAGCTGCAGACGAGGTGCCGAGTTTGGGAGCGGCAGGACTGGCTCTCACAGAGGGACGAGGGGTGCCGGTCACAGGGGTTGGGGTCTTCCTCTCCGGAGTCTTCACAGGACTCTTCAGATCCAGATTCTGTCACACAATGAAAGCATTAGAGGAAACCTGTGCAGAAGAAGATATGTCGGCTGCCTCTGTGAGCCTACAAATGCTGGTTACTGTTGGCCTGGCAGTTCTGCTACAGCATTCGGCCTCTTTCACCCGGGCGTTTCGTAGGTCCGTCTTTCATCTGTCCGTTTACAGATGAAAAAACGGGACCCCCATGTATGTCTATGAACCTGTGCAAGTAAACGGATGAACATTACATCCGCTAATATCCACATCCGTTTTTTTTTTTTTGGACGGAAGAAAACCCCTATTTTTCTTCCGCAAAGAAAACGGAACAGATGAAAAAAACGGATGTCAACGGATTGTGTGCAGCCCAGCAGGTAAGGAAAGGGGGGGGGGGGGGGGGGGGGAGGAGGGAACGAGTGAGTGCCCCCTCCCCTCCTGAACCATACCAGGCCACATGCCTTCAACATGGGGGGGGGGGGTGAATTTTTAGTCATCAGCTGTCAGCGGGGTTCCCCACTGACAGCTGAATGTAAAAGAAAAAAAAATATATATATATATATAAAATGGCGTGGGGTCCCCCCCCCCCCCCTTCCATCCATACCAAGCCCTTCGGATCTTGTTTGGATTTTGAGGGGAACCCCCATGCCAAAATAAAAAAAAATGTCATGGGGTCCCCCTCAAACTCCCATACCAAACCCTTACCCGAACATGCAGCCCAGCAGGTCAGAAAAGGGCTACATGCCCCCAACATGGGGGGGGGGGGGTGCTTTGGGGCGGGGGGGGTCCACCCCCCCAAAAGCACCTTGACCAGGGCCTTTTCCCCACAACTCTGGGCTGTGGTCGTGGGAGTCTGCTGGAATTATTCTTATTGGAATCTGGAAGCCCCCAGATCCTGCCCCCCCCCCCCCCCTCTCCATAAGAATGAGCATGGGGAGAGAGACATTCTTTGACAAGTCCTTTATTGAAAAGAAAAAAAAAAAAAAAAAAGAAGAAGAAGGAAGGAAGAGAAATGTCCCCGAAGTAGATCCAACGTCAATCACGATGCCC